TGTGTGTGTGTGTGTGTGTGTGCTCACGCACGTATGTATCGGATTGAGAATTCAGTCAGCATGGGCAAATTGAAAAAAAGAAAAACTGGCTGGCTGCTACGAGAACTTGGCTGTTTTTTTTGGGGATCGGCATATTAAAAGGGCCTTTACCCGATGCAGGCCTCAGACATTGTAAAAGTAAAGCAGCGTGAAGGGGCATCTCGCCAGGACTCAGAACTCGAGAAAGCAGATCAACAGACGACTTCTCTATCAAAAGACACATCTAAATCTAAGTTTAAATTCACTGCCAAAGGGTATTGCTGAAGGACATACCTGTTCGCCAATAGATGCATATGTCATGTCTGTTCAGATAAGGGTGTGTCTGTACGTACAGTCAGTGTGTCTGTTCGTGCAAAGGAAAAGTGTCTATTCACACATTGTGGGTGTCTGTTCAGGCAGTGAGTGTGTCTGTTCGAGTTGTGGCTGTTTGAAAGCAAGTGAGTGAACAGAGTCCCAGATCTGGTCTAAGTCTAGGGGACAGTCCAGATCCAGATGTTCCAGTCCAAATCTAGGCCGAAGAGGCCTCAGCAGCAGTTGATTTTCATTGGGACTGTACTGGTACACATGCAATGCAGGGTCTKGGACGAAGGAAAGGCTGGACTGAGCCAATACAGACCCAGCGAGGAGAGGCCAGCACTATAAAGGCAGCAGCCAGCCTCATTCCTCGCCAGATCTCCACTGGCCATTTCTGCGTGGAAGTGCTGGTGCACTTGTGCGCGAAGTCAGGGAAGAAGCCTGTACGCTGGAGGAGCAGCGCTGGAGGATGAAGATGCGCTGAGTGAGGGAAGAAGCCTGTACGCTGGAAGTGATGCAGCCATAGCTGTCCAGCGAGTTAGTACTAGTAGTAGAGGGTTAGTAGTAGACAACTATGGGTAGTATTCAGAGTAGATCCTCACGAGTAAAGAGTGTGTATGCATCGTAGGAGGAAGGGACCGAGGCAGAGAGTGTTCATTCAAGGTTTGGCTATGGAAGATACTTACCTGAGTTGGCTGTGAACTGCAGAGGTGGCGCTGATGAGTAGTGACCACATTGATGACTTGGAGACAATCTGCAGAAGTAGCGCTGATGTATTGGGAGTCATKTTGATGAGTTGATGCTGGTTTGGCATTGCGCTGTTGAGCGCTGGACTCAGGGAACTATGGAACTCTTTGTAATCATATTTTTGATAATATAAGCTGTGAAACTCGGTTTTCTTCTCATCTATCTTTGTCTATCGTGTGAGACTACTGATCATTGTGTGCGAGTATGATGCATGACATATACACACTTGCGTGAGATGGTCCCCAGGACCCATGCAAGTTGGTATCGGAGCAGATGCTCGCTGCACTCATAGCGCTGGCATGATCAAGGCCGGCGAGAAGATGTGGTGATGGAGGAGTAGTGAAGAGGGAGGAAGAGAAGAGATGTTGGATAGTGGGGGAGGCAGGCCGAAGAAGAAGTGGCGAAGTATACTTACCTGGAGCGTGCGGAGCGCCGTGGAGCATCATCGGCAGTATCTTCAAGAAGAGAGAAGCACCTCCTTTCCCTAAACCTGCATGCATGTGGGTGTCCCCTACCCCTGGAGCATCATCTACCTTCAAGAAGAGAG